TAATTTGTTTCTCGTGTAGCTAAGCATTTTTACACACTTGAATTTTATAGCTGATTCAATTTATGTACCCTATCTAAGGAATTACACACCGGGAACACAATGCAAAAACGGGTAAAAATGATCTACCCTTTTTAAGGATCAAGACCCTCAAAAACCATATGCTATCACCAGGACAAACCCACGAGCTGCTGTATGTTCAGACAAGGCTTCACTTACTTTGCACCCTATTCCACCATATGCTTAACTTTACCAAAAACTAAATCTACCTTTCTGAGAAGACCAGTGAGTCTCTCTCTACTCTTGTAATGTTCAGAGTTCATCCAGATCATACGAATAATGTTCAGTATTTTTGACAACATGCCAGGAATGTCTTTAGGTTGAGCCTGAGCAAGTTCCTCACAAGGTCCTTTGAGTGTTGACAGGAACTTTAAATTACTCTGTGCCTGTGCTGACCCATCCTGGTAGCAAACAAAACATTTTAAAATGATCAATAATAATAGGCCCTTTGCAGCCATTCATTCAAGTGGTACAAACCTGCTATCAAATGCTGGAATGCGAGGGATGTACTGTAACAAGACAAACAAGAGGCTTACATCATTTAAAGTGGTTCTAATTTTCATCGTTTGTCTTATCCCACTGCATTCCTTACTCTCCAGCAAGATGAATATTTATTGATCATTTCTTACAAAATAATCAAACAAAGGCCAGAAAAACACAGATTTTTTTTGTTATTGTTTTTTCTTTAATCGAAGAACACCACAACTCATACATTCTTAACAATGTTCATCAACACTGTTCAAACATTAACTGAAACAGTATCATTCTATAGTCATTATTTTCCACATACTGTAAAATTGCCCCCAAATACATAGTAAAACAAAGCTAATACAGTACATTTGCTTCCAACTATAAGGCTAGCCCAATCAATTTTGAAACGCAAATTTCCCCCTGTAGATAAGCCCCTCCAAAAATAAGCCCCTCAAAAAGTGCCTTTAAAAAATATAAGTCCCGGGGCTTATTTTCGGAATGTTGCGGTATATAATCTGCCTTCTTAAGCTACTTAAAATCATTAGTCACGCATCAGGACTTTGAAATATCAGTTTGCAATAAAGACACCAACCTGAATAAGCTTTGAGAGTTTGAGAAATGGTGCGACATAAGAACTCTTGGAATGCTCCAAAACGGACTGTATTCTTTTAACTCCTGGTTTGTCCAGCTGTTCACTAATACCTGAGAGATCGGCACAGCGACTACGCCAGAACTCAATCTCCTCTAGTGGCCCAGAATTTTCTGCTGCCTCAAAAGTGTCCTGACTACTTAGCACTTCCTTAATTTGCCGTGTCCAGTGAATCATTGCAGCTGAAAACCAAGCATTACATAAATTACACTGATGAAAATGTTGTATTTGAGAGCTACTAAATGATCAGCAGCTTGTCTCAGGAGCCATTCACACTTACCAATAGCATTCAGAAGGATCTACACTGTAAATGAGATCAAACTCCGACAGATCAAGGTGACACCACCTTCCAAGAATATTAAATTCAGTTTAATCTCCACAGAGTGTTTGGGAATGATTATGCTGTATGTTAAATCTGTTATCAGGTTAAACCAGGGGTCAATTCATAAAACGTTTACAAGGTTAGTGTTGTTTATAAGAGAAGCTATTGTTTCAGGGTCCGAAAACAATAGTTGACCCCAGTAGTCAGCCTAGTTTGATTCACAGTCTCATTATTTTCCCAGCTTTACTTACTTCTAGGGGACATACGGAATTCTGGTTTAACTTGGAAATGGGTTTTACCTACAACATTTTATACTGGGGTTGCAAAATTGGATTAGTCAAAGTGGTAACAGTGTGTGGCCCCTGAGTTACAAAACATTATGGTTCCAAAAAGAACATTATGATGAAATGTGTCTTACTTTCCAGACGTTGCACAAATTCTTTACTCTTGGCTGCCTCTTCGATAGGAAGCCTAGTTCCTTCATTGGGGACATATAATACTGTCTTTCCCTGCATCTTGTACCGAGTGTCTGTTAAATTGGCCATAAACTTGTGTAGCTGAGCTGAGAAATCATTTTTAATACCTTATTTGTGATTAAGGGTAATAATACTTCTTCCTTGAATAGAAAACATTGCTCTTTGATACCTAAGGCTGGTGGAAAATTTCATAAAGGTAGCATTATGTCTTATTAACATTTTAAAGGACAAGTTCACTCCAGAAGGGACATTTTTCTAATCAAAAATAGAAAGATTACAGCACCTCTAGTTACTGACCATTTTCTGAGTCTCCAAGTTCTATCAAATTATTATCCAAACATTGTCAAAAATTGTTCAGTATCATGAGGTACTATTTTTATCATGCTGAGCAAACTGGTCGTCAGAGTTGTCATTAACGCCTGTAAACTGTACCACCTGTTATGGCTGATCTCACTAATGCTTGTCTTGACACTATGAGTGATCAAAGTGAAAAGCTTAAGATTACACTGTAAATTTTATGTAAGATCTTTCAGGTGAATTGTATTGCTACAGCTGCTTCAAAACTTGTTGACAGCCCTCAGTCCTTCTATTCAGGAAGTCATTCTGCAAATTGGCGGAAAATTCAAGTGGCTGGACATTTAAGACTACAGTGTATGTAAGTAGCCACTAATGAGTTTCCTACCAATAATAGACCTGATCCATTGATACAAGCGTCTATACACCTCCGACATTGAGAATAATTTACTTGCCCTTTCTTTACACATAAGTCTTTAGTATTAATATTATTACTAATTAATATTATCAATATTAATATTATCACAAAGGATACTATCTGGCCAAGATTTATTTCCAAAAAACAAAGGGGCATACACATTTGTCATCAATCTCAATAGACTTTCAATATGGTTAGCTTTGATTGTACCAAACTTCAATTTCTGTTCAATGTTATCAGGTGTGATGACTGCATTTTCAAACCTGATCATGTATGTCATTTCTTCAACAGGATGGGGAGGGACAGACAGTGCCACTTGTAATCCAAGTAGCTTGTCGACATAAACCACTAACAGCCTGTGAGTGTAGTCCCTTAGAAACTTGATTATAGTAGCTTCATGCTCTGCTGTCCACATGTCGGCTTTTAGCGCACTTAAGGTGACTCTTTCCTTAATCAATGGTACCTTAAAAAGGTAAATAATCATAATTCTTCATAAGTACAGTAAAGATTAACGGATATGATCTTCATTAAACACATTTGCAGAATACCAAACCACTTTCAAGCAGTGTCCTGAAAGAAGTGAATATGTTACAGGTTAAAATTTTTAACCAGCGTTGATTATCAATTTCCTTTGTCTCCTAGCTCTAATTATTCATGAATCATGGCTAGGAGACAAAGGCAATTGAGAATCAAACTAGGTTAAAAAATTTGAACCTGAATATACCTGTAATATTGACCTGTAACATATCCACTCATTATTATACATTTAAACCCAGGCCACTATCTATCTTCTCATTGGCTAAGAGCCTACAGTTAATTTTGGAAATCAGTGCAACCTACAAATAAGTTAGTTATCTGCTAGCAGATAACTGACTAATCTGTAGGTTGTGCGCACAATGCATGATTTCCAAGAGCAATGTCAAATCAGGTCCGTGCAACAGTGTATTTGTCGTTATTTATTTCAAAACAATGTACAATAAAACAATTATTGGATGAGGTTTTTGTGATATCCGGAATAATCAAGGTCGAGGTAAGTGTTATCAGCCGAGCCAAAAGGCCGAGGCTGATGACACTTACCTCGACCTTGATTATTCCGGATATTACAAAAACCTCATCCAATAATTGTTTATTATTACGAGTTGCTTCAACGTGGCACAAAAAGCACTGTCAAAACTAGAATTAAAGCTTTGTCTTAACTTAATGTATGTGTGTAAAGCTATGCCCATCAGACAAATCTGCAGCTGCGCTCGGTGCACATAACCCATTTAGGCTGATCTGATGGTAGCTTAAACTATAATAAGAGATTGAAGTACGAGTATAACGCGTACTTCAACCTAAAGCTCCCTTCCACGATCAAGCCATTTTTCTCTAGTTGCTAAGATCAAGATCAAGCCATTTTTCTCCAGTTACTCTCACCATTTCTGCTGGTTCAAATTCTCTCTCGCCTTCCGATCCACCACTGCCGTGACCAGGAGAGACCCGGTCAACTTCCAAACCATTCTCAGACGAAGAATTAGACACGCCATTTTTGTTTTCATCTGGGAGTGCTAGAGTGGAATCGGTCACTGTTACTGCTCCTGCAGCTTCAGAGGCAACATCTGAAGATCCACCTTGCAAGCTCGTTGCGTCTTCGCGGTCTAAATCCATAGTTTAAGCACAGTTTTCTTGCAATAGTCGGGTAAAATGAACAAAAATATTGCAAATGTACTCTGAATTCAACCCTTGCAAATTCGTTACAATACAGTCTGCATCTCTTAAAAAGGTTTGGAAGCTTTCCGCTGAAATATTAGCCTGTTGTAGGTCTTCACTTTCGCTCTGAATTATGAAAACAGTGGCCTTGATGTTGTTAGATAGACAAGACCGCCATTTTTACCCCATAAATGTCATAGTAACAACTGCCTCGTTTGTGTGATGCAAGAGTTCCCTCACCAGGAGAGGGTGTGAAACCGAATATAAGCGAAAGATCAAAAAGACCGTGAGGAAAAGACCCGTGCCCGTGATCCGTGAAGAAAACACTCGTCGAAATAATGGCAATGAAATTATTTTCCTAACTGTAAAACCAGCCTTGCTCCTCTCTGTTGTTCATAAATTTCAAAGCTGATTAGACCCTATTTAGACAAGGTCTCCTATTCCATTTTGTGCCGGCTTGGGTAACCTGTGGTTTCGATAAAAATAAAAAAACCGAGTAAAATTACTTGCGTGGGTTGGACCTGTGCATATAGCAGGGGTCAGGCCGCGTTGAATGGAATGATGAATGTCCTTACTTTTCAACTTTATTCTTAGCAAGTTAAGGCCACGTACTCCTTTTTAAAAATGCCCAAGAGTGAGTCGAGGTCTCGCTCTAGAAGTAAGAGCGGAAGCCCTCGCCGAAAACACAAAAAAGAACGCAGCTACCGGCGACGATCGCGAAGCGGCTCACCAAGCTCGTCTTCTTCCAAGAAAAGAAGCCGTGATGGCTCTCCTCGTCGTCGCTCTCGATCACCAAGAAGGAAGAGGCGATATTCAAGAAGCAGGAGTCGTTCTCCAAGCGTTGATAGATTTGGTAGATCAATAGTAAAGAGGAAAGCGGACGACTCTGAATCCAAACGGAAAGAAGAAGAAGAAAGATTACTCGAAATGGAACGGCAAAGAAAAATGTGAGACTATATCTGCTTCGTTTAATTTCTCTTAGTGTTTTTTTCACATTTCCCTTTTTCCTTCAAAGGGTTGCTGTAAAGAGTCTTTGTTAGAGTAGATTCTTTTTGAACGCCGAATGAATCAAGTTTAATCATTGGGGTACGGTTCCTAGAAAACTGAGTGAATCAATTTCCAATTCAATGACCTCAAATGAAGTTTCCAAGCCCCACTTACAGTCAAACCAGGTCAAGCGTACCCCCCAAGAATACATTAATGAATTTATTATTCAAAAGTTGAATCCGTTGCTAGTTGTAGATTTCAGATTGATCTCTTCAGTCTTGCATGTGTAATGAGCCGTGAATTCACACGCGAGGCATTTATGAAATTTCTACCAGCTCCATTTTCCTGAAATTGATGTAAATGTCTTCTAAGAAGATTAATCCATTCAAAGATTTCCAAACTGACCAGATACAGAGAAGTTCTCGTAAAATATTCACTGCTCATTACGCATGCAGAAATGCCGCTATGAATTTGACACCAGTTACGGGAACGACTAACGGATTCATTTTTCAAATAATCAATTCATTAATAGAATCTTGGGGGGTACGCTTGACTTGGTTTGACTGTAAAGCTTCAGAGTCATTGGCCTTCCGCAAAATACGCCTGTCGGTTTATCTGGGGCCACGTTGCACGATTGAATTTTCTTGTCCTGTGGTCCCTATTTAAAAAGGAAGTCCTTGTTAAAAGCCAAACATTTAAACACAAAAGCGAATTGAAATCCACTGTGGAGCATAACAACAGGGAAATCTATTTCGTTTGACCCAGTTTTCAGCAGATTTTTAAATTATTTTTCAAGGCTAAATAATGTTGAAGCAGTGATTTTTCCCATCGATCAAACCAAAACTGATTTCCTAAAAATGTAACCTCCAGATTTTTCAGACCACCGTATTATTCAAACATTTTTCCCAGGAGGTTTGAAAATACCAGGATTTCCCTGTAAAACCCAAAGAGAAGAACAACAGAAGTTTTAAGCCTGTATACAACTGCCACCTTTGCAGCAATATGTGGTGGCATTTGTGTAGATGTCTCTGTTTAGTACATGTGCTGGTGGGGGTGTATAATTTAAATTTACCTTGCCAGTCCAACCTTGACCTTAAGACAGAAATCTATGGACAAGGTCATGAGCCTTTCTGTGAATATTGTGAAAATTGGTTTAGACTTGATTCTCAAAAATTTCACTACTGTTTTGGAAGTAAAGAACAATGGGGGTTTTTAATCTTGTGTACAGCACCTCTTCCAGGGCAACATTGATTTTTGTGGCCTTTTTCGGCAGGTCATATTTGTTCAGGTTGGGCTGTATCATACTTCCTAACAGAAGAGTGAACCAATTTCAATGTGCGATATATGACATATGTATTTGCTGGTCCAACTATTTGTTCTAAAGAGATAAATCTGTGGAGAAGTTCATCACTGTTTGCAACTCAAATGTTGTAAAAATTTGGCTTTAGATTTGGTTTGCAAAATTTAAAGAAAATTGTCTGGAAGTAGGGACTGACAACTTACACTAAACAATATCATTTTTTTATTTATCTTCTTTATGGCTATCTCTGATTTACTGCAGGATTAAATCTGCTTTTATTTGCCATCATGTTTTCATTCTAGTCGTGCAACAGAAAAAGAAAAGATGATGATAGAAGAAGAAACACAGAAACGAGTGGAGGAACTTGTAGCTAAAAGAGTTGAAGAACAGCTTGCAAAAAGGAAAGATGAGATTGATGCTGAAGTTATGAAACGAGTTGAAGAAGCTAAGACAGTAATGGAAAAACAAATGGTTGAAGAATTTGAAAAGCGGCAACAGGAGCAGCTCGAAGAACAACAAATGAAAGAGGTTAATGATATTCATTAGATAGTAATGTATCAGTTTGTGGTCAAAATTTGGGGAGAAGAAAATTATCAAGAGTGAATTGTATCTCCACTTCCCTTGTACACTAACCAAAATTGCCATCATTTTCTCATTCATAGGAACTACACATACTTGTACACTCGTGAATTCCTCTTTCTAGCCCCTTTCCCTCCCTTCTTTACTTTAAAGTTGTGTCATTTTTCTGCAAACACTCAGATTATTTCCACAGATGCGAGCAACCAGTCACTTGAGAAGGGAAACGTTGCCAAGTACAGTCTGTCTTTTCAAGCATTTGGATTTAAGCCTTACTATTTTTTGTGCCATTATAGCCTTGAAGTTGACATTTGTGTCAGACATTTGCAAAAGACTTCAGTTTTGCAAGAACTGTACATTTTTTGAACTTGCTGAAAGCTTAAGGAACTTTCATCTAATGGAAAAATTATTTAGCGCGCTTCTCATAGGAACATTGCATTAGTGGGAGAGAGTTCAAGTCTTCACAAACTCTAAAGAACACTGCAAGGAGCTGTTACCGGGAAGATTTCATAGGAAATGTTAGGCAGCCATGTGTATGTATGACTGGTAAAAAAAGCTGCTCCTTTACAGGTGCTTTTTGTGGGCTAAACCAGCTCGTAAGCTTTTATTTCAAGTGAAATGTAAACGTTTGTTTTTGGTGTTTATTGAGGTGGTTTCACTTTGCTTTAACTGGAAACTGAATTTGATATTTTATGTTGTCTTTGATTCTGCTTTAGTGGCAGTCTCTTAATGGGTAAATTGTACATGGGAAAAAGGCTTAGAAGTACATTTGTGCAAACAACTGGCACAAGTGGAAATTGTGCTTGGAATTTCACTTGTTTTCCATGCAAGGTTTGGATCCTTGTGTGAAAATAAATTTGTTATGGTAGTTTGTATGGTCAGAGCACATTCATAATAATTACCTGGAAAATATACATGTTGTATTGAGATATTTATGTGTTTGTTTTAGGAAGAAGAACGTCGTAAGATTAGTCATCTTGAAAACAAAGTTCAGGAACTCCAAAGACTACTTGATGATGCCAATCAAAAACTGGTATGTTTTCTACCAAATGTCTTTGATTTGAACCATGTTTGGGTGGGCATATTTTGGGGGCACGGGATGCAAAGGTCGGTTGCCTCAAGTGGGGTAGAGTTAAGTCTACAGAGTATATCATGTACATGTGGCTTCCATTTTCTTCATTTGAATAAATTTAAACCTGATTCGCTTGTATTTGCCTTGGTTTTAAATTCACCAAAGTGATAAAGGAATATAAAAATCTTACTGGTTTAAATGTTTTCAAACCAAAGAGAACTTGTACATCAACATACTCTGTGTAGTCAATCTCAGGGAGAGAAGAAGGGAAAATGTGTTACTTTTTTATGTGCATATCATAGCAGTAATCATCAGTAATGCCTTTGTTTACTTGAGCTGTATTTTGTCTTAAAACTAAAACAAATTGTACTTCTATTTCATCACACTGCAGGAAGAAATAATCTTGCAACGGTGGTCAAGTTTGGTTTGTTTTATTGATCTACAGTTATTTAGTAAAAGTAACCGTGCATCCAAATAGCTGAATTGTTTTAGAGGACTTACTCATGGATTCATATTCATTCTGAAAATTCCGAGAGTAGACATACCGTGTATCATTTGGAGATAAGTATTCTTTTACTTTTCCGGCTACACTTGATCCATTTATTCACCAAAAAGCACATCCCAGACTTCAGGGTTTTTTCTTTTAAGACGACACCTCAGTAACAATGTACTCCAATCTATAGTTCTTGAATGAAAAATTTTCCAAAAATGGGATGTGCATCAAAGCATGTAGAAGCACATGATCTTGCAGAGTTCACGAAGGTGTGCCATGATTCAAGTGAAAACCCATGTATAAGAACCTTATTATTAAAAACTTGCTATGCTAAAAGTCAGTAAAAACCAGTTGGAAGTAAAACTCTAGAGGATCTTTATATTGTGTGTTTTTGCTCAGTGTGATTACTTCATACATAAGTACTTTTTTTAACACTAAAGAAAGTTACAGCCAAATTTATGAGAGGCCACAAGATTGATATAAGAGCCTATGTAAAGACCCAGTTTATTTACATGTATATCCTGCATTCTTAGTAGATGCCTAATATGCAGGGTTCTCCCACAAATTGGGTTCTTATATGTGGGTTTTTTATCATATTATTAGCCACTGTTGGCTCTATTGTGTCAAGTTTATTAACAGGCTCAGGTAAGGGGATATGCTTGGTTACTGTACAGTTAAAGGTATCTGATTGCATGCACTTCTTTTTTTTCACTGGATATACAGGCAGAAGAGCGCTTGGCTATGGTGGAAGAAAGAAGGACATTGACCGAGCAGAAAATGGGTTTAGAGCGTGAAATTAAAAAGCAGGAGAAAGCTGCACAAGACATGATTCTCAACAAGAACAGGAATAACAGAGAAAAGCTTGTATTTGGATTTAAGAGCAAGGGAGCCCTGTAAGATGCCTTGATTCCTTAGAGGAATTTATTTGTCTGGCACAAGAAATAAACAGTGGTTCTAGAAGCAGTTCTTAGCATACACAGGTGCAGAACTTCTTCAAACCAATGGTGCAAGTATTTTTAAAATAATTATTGATAATTCGTCCCTCTCTAATCTCTTTTCTCCCCTTTCTCTTTGTCTCAATTATCCTACACCTTCCAGTTTTACTTCATACATGTATGTTTTTTTTTTAGTTTTCAGCAACTTAACTCTATTTGCTAACACTGTATCTTTCGCATTTAATAGTCACTTGTCCTTTCAATGCTTTCCTTGTAGAATTCTTGTAAATATTAACACATTAAAGTGATTTTCACTGTTTTATTGGCTGTTGTTTCATATTTGGTTCTGGTCTAGAATTACATGAGAGACCTTTAGATTCAAGGACAAGGATGATTACAAGTACAAGATTTGGAAAGCCTCATTTCACCTTCCACATTTCCCACGATCAATTGTCAGTAAATATACTCTGCAAGTTTCAAGAACATAGGCTGATTTAGCAACAGAACTGGAACGTCAGTTGACGATGGAGCGCGCAAACAAACAACTGGCTTGACCAATGGCAAAGCGACAAATTGGGCACCGGAAGTCGAGTTTAGTCGTTTTCGCGCGCTTTCCCGTCGTCAAATGACGTTCGCGTTATGTTGCTAAATCAACCTCAGGGTTTGCAAATTTTATTGATGAGTGGAGTCAGTGTGACTCCTACTTCACAAATTTAGGAGTCATTTTGGAATAATTGGAGTCAAGTATCAGACTTTCCAGCACTTGGTCCTGGCATGTATACACTATCGTGAGGGATACACGAAGTAGCTGTGGCGGTCCGCTGACCTGGAAAGCTCAAATCCATGAGACGGTCATCGAGTAAACTTTGATCGTAATTTACCTGACCCTCTTCCTGTTTTGTCATGCAGTATAATTCTTTAATTTCAATGAGTTTATTAAGGTTTAGAACGTTAACAATTAACGTAAATTGTATTTGTTGCGAAAAAGGTAAGGATAAAACCGTGTTTGTTACCGAAAATTTTTGGAGTCGAAGTGACTCCCTCCGTAACCTCAGTGGAGTCATCTGAACAATTTTGGCGTAAAATACGCCAAATTTGGCGTATTTGCGAACCCTGAGTCTCATTACGCATGCAGAAATGCCGCTATGAATTTGACACCAGTTACGGGAACGACTAACGGATTCATTTTTCAAATAATCAATTCATTAATAGAATCTTGGGGGGTACGCTTGACTTGGTTTGACTGTAAAGCTTCAGAGTCATTGGCCTTCCGCAAAATACGCCTGTCGGTTTATCTGGGGCCACGTTGCACGATTGAATTTTCTTGTCCTGTGGTCCCTATTTAAAAAGGAAGTCCTTGTTAAAAGCCAAACATTTAAACACAAAAGCGAATTGAAATCCACTGTGGAGCATAACAACAGGGAAATCTATTTCGTTTGACCCAGTTTTCAGCAGATTTTTAAATTATTTTTCAAGGCTAAATAATGTTGAAGCAGTGATTTTTCCCATCGATCAAACCAAAACTGATTTCCTAAAAATGTAACCTCCAGATTTTTCAGACCACCGTATTATTCAAACATTTTTCCCAGGAGGTTTGAAAATACCAGGATTTCCCTGTAAAACCCAAAGAGAAGAACAACAGAAGTTTTAAGCCTGTATACAACTGCCACCTTTGCAGCAATATGTGGTGGCATTTGTGTAGATGTCTCTGTTTAGTACATGTGCTGGTGGGGGTGTATAATTTAAATTTACCTTGCCAGTCCAACCTTGACCTTAAGACAGAAATCTATGGACAAGGTCATGAGCCTTTCTGTGAATATTGTGAAAATTGGTTTAGACTTGATTCTCAAAAATTTCACTACTGTTTTGGAAGTAAAGAACAATGGGGGTTTTTAATCTTGTGTACAGCACCTCTTCCAGGGCAACATTGATTTTTGTGGCCTTTTTCGGCAGGTCATATTTGTTCAGGTTGGGCTGTATCATACTTCCTAACAGAAGAGTGAACCAATTTCAATGTGCGATATATGACATATGTATTTGCTGGTCCAACTATTTGTTCTAAAGAGATAAATCTGTGGAGAAGTTCATCACTGTTTGCAACTCAAATGTTGTAAAAATTTGGCTTTAGATTTGGTTTGCAAAATTTAAAGAAAATTGTCTGGAAGTAGGGACTGACAACTTACACTAAACAATATCATTTTTTTATTTATCTTCTTTATGGCTATCTCTGATTTACTGCAGGATTAAATCTGCTTTTATTTGCCATCATGTTTTCATTCTAGTCGTGCAACAGAAAAAGAAAAGATGATGATAGAAGAAGAAACACAGAAACGAGTGGAGGAACTTGTAGCTAAAAGAGTTGAAGAACAGCTTGCAAAAAGGAAAGATGAGATTGATGCTGAAGTTATGAAACG